TATATTTAAAAAAATGATCAATAGTATTCCTCGGGGTCTGGCTGCTAGCTGTAAAGCTTACCAGTGTAAAAGTAAACTCTTGGAAATTGTCTTTTTTTTTTTTATGCTAATAATTCAGCTGACTTCTTTGACCATTATTAGTAGCAAGCAAATCTAATACATTAATACCTTTTACTAAGGTTCCAAGTTTGTTTTTTCTGTTTGTCTGGAGACTGTTGACTAATCTATAATTTAAATTATATCCGAAATGCTGGTGTACTATTTGTTCTCACAGTCGTTGGCATTGTCCAGTTAAAGAGCGAGATAATGATCAGTAGTGGGAGGTTTACCGTGGGAAAAGTGAACTCTTGCCATGTGAAGTACAGCGTGGAGCCACTAACTTTCTCACGCTGCTTTGGTATCATGTTCTTGCTGACCTTGTTTGAGTATTTACCATTGTTTGCTGTCCCGTGGTGGCAGTATAACTAATGATTATTGTTTGCAAAAAGATAGATAGAGCTTTCAGATCAGGAAATCAACAGGAAGGTATTTACATATTACAAGGAAGGCAATAGTTTTTCCAAAACAATAGCTTGGGCATGTTAGGATACTTTAGTATGCCTAAGCCACTGAGATTTTGGCAGTCTTGGGGTGAGTGGATGTGAAGTAAAACTGCCTTTACAGAGGTTGGGAGGGGTGCCCCATTTCATGTGTATTTGGGTTTGTGTACAGTGTCTTCTTGAAAGTGGTAGTCCTTTGGAGAATATATGTAAATGTGTTAGGGAATCGTCACAATTTAAAAGAAATTTGAGATGTATTCCTTTTTGGGTAGGAAGTATTTTTACAGTCCAAATACTTAACCTTTTCCCTCCAATTTACTTTCTGTGTGGTGTCTGCCACAATGCTAGAATGTTTAGGAAATTTTTGGGTTTTGTGTGGAAGACCTTTGAAGTGGGATATAAATATTCCTTTCACTAGAATTTCATCATATATGGCTTGAAGTATTGTAACAGAAGTTTTGCTATATTTTTATTTTAACTGGGCACTATTAGTTGACACATAACTTTAGCAAGAGCATATATTGAAATGTGAGGAGAAAAGCTACTTGTGTCAAGTTTGGATGATCGAATCTGTAGAATTTCTTCAAACTTTTATAATTTTAAAGAAAGGAAAAGTTTGCTAGTTGATTAAGCCATTGTTTTGTTTATGTGTTGCAGTCTAAAAGAATATAGAACACTAAATATTAGTGTTCTTAATGTTTACTATTTTCCTAAATTATAGTAGAACTAAGACAGTGACAATCCATAAAAACTCAGCAACCAGGTAATGAATTGTCTTCACTTTTAGAATAGTCCTGTCCCAAGAAGAACTCTGAAGATGATTCAGCCTTCTGCAGCTGGGTCTCTTGTTGGAAGAGAAAATGAGGTATGTGTTAATGCACTAGAATGGAGTATAGCTAAAACTACTGATACATTAAACACATTTCCAAAATATTCTTGATCAGTAGGACCTAAATCATTGATATTTGGAAATAATGTAACAATTATGTATTCCTCACAGAAGTAGTTTTTGCTTAAGGCAAAACCATTCAGCCTTTCTTGTTCATTAAAACGAATGAGATTGACATATGTATTCCACTGTAGTTGGTTAAAGGCATGTCTAAAAGGAAACATTGGAATAACCAGTTAATAGCTAAGACTTCCAACTCCAGCGCTGGAAATGCCCCAGAACATAATGAAAATAAAGATCTTGGAGAAGTGACCCAAGAAGCATTTGATCTTATGATTACAGGTATGGAAAACTTACATATTCATATAAAACTTTTATTTTGAAATTTTAAATATTATAAAGGTATTTGTTATATTGTTATGAATTTTTGGTAATTTAAAATTGCTTTTGGTTGTAAATATACAAATACTATAAATCTGGACATGACTTATTGTTTGGTGAGATCCAAGTATGGGTGATACATTCCAGTGATTAATATTGGCAGCTGATACTGGATTGCTTTAGGGGTTAATAAGATTAAAAATAACCTGGCCCTCCCTGGTGGTGCAGTGGGTTAAAGCACAGCACAAAGAAGCTTAAGCCACTTCCGCATGAGTTCGATCCCCACCGGCCC